CCCCCCCCCCCCCCCCCCCCCCCCCCCCCCCCAACAATCAAACCGAGTACTAAATCGTCCAAATATTTCGAAATCTCACACAACTGTTGATAAAGCAGTTGAAATTTACACTTATCACATGTCTGAAAATTGTAGTAGTGTAATCTATTTAGCTCCGTTTTTTTCCATGCCTAATCAAACAACTCCTTGGCTACCCATCGATTCCATCAGCAACTGAATTGGCTATTCAAAACGTTCCAACGCCTAAGCATTGGGAATTTCGCTTCGTGAGCTGCGTAAAAGCATACATCAGAAACCTACCTACTGACATTTTCACTCTGCCTACCGAGCGGCGTGGCATAGGGGGAGGTACGCTGCAGATCCAGGATTCGACGACCTTAACCTTGGGGCAACTAATCCCTCCACGTCTTCGTTCCGACGATAAAAAGGTGCTAACATACGTCGGGGATTTAAACCACCGACAGCTTACTTTTCCGAGCAGTCCCGAAAGAGAGAGCCATCGCGAACCTTGACATGCGTTTTCGCTCGGGCTACTCCCAAGCGCAACCCCAATCTCTCAGTGAATGCATACATAAGCAATTTTGATTGTTCACAGGTATACACCACTAGCCCATATTCTATTCGTTTATTATACTCTCCTACTTTTTGTTCTACACTATTATCTCATAGGGGGAAAAAACATGAAAACACCAAATGTAATTAAAAAAATTTGAAAAAAAGTCAGCAACAATCTCTTGCCCAAACATCCTACAAGGGTGTCACTGTGAGCCATGCATATCGTGTAAAGATAAGAGGGGAAAAATGCGATGAATCATACATTTCGCAAGAACCTAGGCCTTGGTCGAAGAGACCTTCGAAAAAATCACCAGATGCGTAATCAAAGAAGCAAATTATGAATTTACACAGGATTCAAGCATTCCAGGTATCAAATCAGCTCATTTCAACCAAACGATAGAAGGTGCGCGGTAAATTTTCGCAATACATTATACTATGGAAGTGATGCAACACGAAACAGTGAATCATTTCGAAGCTGTTTTATGAATTTTATCATTAAAACACAACAAAGCAGCGATGAAACATCGAAGAAAAAAAACTGAAGATCCGCAGCAGGAATTAAAAACGCATATTTAATCGAGAATTCTGCTATTCAGCTGATGAAGGCCGATTAGCCGGCGGGAAACTTGGGAAAAAAGCGGAAGGAGGAATGACGGAAATAGAGTGACTTTTGCAAATTAACAACTCATTTTCGCAGTG